TGGGTTTTTCTCTGTATCTATTATTGTAGGATGTACTGCATAATATAAAGCGCCTTGAGGCGACTGATTTGGCACTGTATAAGTAAAATAAAATTGAATTGAATTAAAATAGATATATATAAATATATCTCAAAAAATACCTCAGCCACAGAAATTAAAGCCTGAACCATTAAATAATTGTCACAAAATTCTCATTTTATGAATCTGGAGTGTTTATTGAACATTCTGACAGTGTTTTTTTTTTTCTTTTAGAGAAGGCATTAAATTTTATTCTGCATGTATGACTTTTAATTTAAGTAATTTTTACTACATGTATTTTTGTGCAATTTATTGTTTAAACATTTATTCAGGTTTTTCACTAAAAGAAACACACACACACTGATGTTGTAGAGGTCTTACTTGGAACATTTGATGTTGCAGGGTTAAGCACAAACCAGTGCCTGCATCCTCCACAGTCACCTCTAATTCTTGACCCAGTGTTAACCTGGCTTTTATTCTCCCCCACCCTGCCCATAGCTACTGCCCCACTCTATGCCTCCAACCATAAATTATTTTCATAACCCCTTTCCCAGGACACCAGATCACTGTCCAATTACCATGTTCATTTCAACTGTCTACTGGAAATCAACACCACAGGCTCTTGTGTAAGTCCAAAGGACATTCCAGACACAGCATGCAGCTGCTTTTAGTGTGACACTACTTGTGGAAATGTGTGTGTGTGGCTGCTTTCCAGTGCATTTCTTCTTGTGCCACAATTAACAAGTACTGAGCCATCTTTGGCTTAGGCTCAGCTTAGGCTCAGCAGTGTGAATCACACTGACAGATATTGTTTAGGGATTGTGTTTCAAATAGAACACTGCAAGTATCACTACCATGGCGCACAAAGTTGTTTTCCTCAGCTATAGTCGAGCAGCAGGGGACAGGTGTAAAATGCTTCGTCTAATATGAAACCCTTGAGGTCTCTGAAGGATGATTCATGCTTACATAAACACTTTTTTTTAATATAGCCCGTGGCGTTATGTTGTTTCGTTGTATCACCATGGTTAGTGAATGACGCATACATTGTACACTTCCTTTTATGAGACAAGCCTTTGTAAAACATTGTGTACAGTTGCTCGTTATAACTGCTGAATTGTGTGTAATTCTAATGAGTGGACCTCATTTATCTTACCTTGACTTCATCCACTCAGGTTTCTCTTCATTTTTGCTCATGCTCTTGTTAAACTGCTTGTGATTGGCTCGTCTTCTCAAACAGAAGGTTTGAACACTAGGTGGGTGGGGCTTTTGTGTTCTAAGGTAGAGCAGAGAGCACTGAGAAAGCCATACTAAGGATACATGTTCAGAAACTGTGTTTAGACAAGTTTGAAGCTGGAGCTTGCTCACAGGGACTACTTGCACAGACGCTGACCTCATTATTTGAAACTTTGGTCATGTTTAATATTAGCATCAATCTTTGTAGCACTATGACAGAAAGATCAAATGTTTTAAAGATAAAGTTGGATATAATGGACAAAGTTCGTTGAATATGGAGGTGCCAAGCAGGAAGAAAACAGGAAATACATGGATGTGATGAAGGAGGACATGCAGAGGGTTGGTGTGATAGAAGAGGATGCTAGGGATAGGGGGAGGTGGCAGATGATCCACTGTGGTGACCCCTTAAAGGGAGCAGACAGAAGAAGAAGAAGAAAATAATTATACTTTCAAGGTTTTCAAATCATTGGCGGTTTGAGTTACAGACCACTCTTCTTTTACCCATTAAACTGCTTGCTAATACTGCAAGTATGTCTATGTCAATTGTTTTGAAAAGTGTTGGGGGCAAGCAGGAGAACAGGTGGAGAAGTGTTGGCCAGGGTATTGCATTAAGAGCATGGATGGAGGTCCTTGGAGCTTAACAGAGGTGAATGAAATTCTGTAACACAGCTAGCTTGAGAGCCTCAGTTCTCGTCTGTTAATATATCCCTAGCCTCCCTTCTCCTCTGTAGTCCTCACCTTTCAGTGTTTTTTTGTTCTTCCACCAGCTGTGACCTTTATTCAGACGGGTCAGCAGCAAGAGCGAGGCAGAGTGTGTGTGAACATGTGCGTGAGCATGTGTGTTGGGCGAGGGGGGGTTGTGGATGTGTGTGTTTGGACGAGGGAAGGCAGCAGTGGGAGTTCACATGGCACGAGGAGGAATTGTCACCTCACTTCATTGAAATAGGTTGCCATATGTCTTTGAGTTCAGACCAGGCACAGACAGTGTTTGTCCCAGGCTAGCTTCTGTTAGTGCCCCAGCTAAAATGAATCGACTCTTTTTAAATCTAGAAAGTAGACAGTTTTTGGCTTTTGATTTGCTCCCTTCTGGGATATTATAACAATCTTATAACCAAATCTTCAAATCTTCTTTCTATTTTATTTTATTACTTTTTTTACTTATGGATACAGTTTGAACTAATCTGCTTATGGGAAACCACCCGAAGAATTTTTCATCTGGTTTACATTTTTTAGTTTGTACTGAAGTGGATAACACTATCCTCAAATTGGAAACTTTTACAGAATTACTACACAGGTGTCCTTTGTTAGGGGGGTGCCCTGGGCAGTGCACTGGTTCAGATTTAGAGCTAATCCCTGTGGGGCTCTGTGTGGAAAAGAATTTTCACAGTAAAGGATGGAGTCATGGGATACAGACTCAGAGGATTCGTGCGACTGGGGTGACTCGTCCGAAGAAGGACTGTCATCAGAGGAAGATGAGCTTGATGTCAAATATGATAAAGAGTAATGCAAATTCTGCAGTGATATGTTTCCTGACAGTGAATTTAATGTATTTTTATTATGTGTCAAGTTTGTATATGAAGTGATATGACAGATTTCAATCACCTCCATGATATGGTCTTTAAAATGAATGAAAATATTATTTTATAACTGCAACACACTTTTTTAGGATTTGATCAAAGTTTTAGTTTTGAAGTTGTGCCTGATTGTGTTGTGTGTTCATTTTCTCCAGGGAGGACATCAGGACAGCCAGTGTCATTGCTGCGGGCGCAGTCACCTGTCTAGTCATCGATCGAGAGTGAGTATCAATAAAATCAATCCTCAAGGGAACTAGTGACTTTTCTACACCGTCTGTACTCATTTACATAAAAAAAATGGAAGCAGCAATGAAACAAACCTACAAATTTTGATTTTGCTGAAACATCAATCTGAGGCCACTTCTCCTCATTTATGAGTGACCACGGCAGACGTACGCTTGATTTAGACCAGTGGTTCTTAACCTGGGTTCGATTGAACCCTAGGGGTTCAGTGAGTCGGTCTCAGGGGTTTGGCAGAGCCTCCACCATGACATGCATAGCTCATTTTGTGCACGAGTAAAAAAATCACATTTTATTTTTCACTAAAGAGGGGTTCAGTGAATGCGCATATGAAGCTGGTGGGGTTCGGTACCTCCAACAAGGTTAAGAACCACTGATTTAGACTTTAGATTGCAATGAATCTTTGCAGTGCCAATGACGTAACCGTAAGCGGCTGACATCGTCATCAGCATTTATGGTTGTGTTTCTGGTGCATTATGCACAATTCAATAAATTTGAGAAAGAGGTTCTGTATTGGGTCATGACTCAAGTTAATTGGCGTATCAACCTTTACAAGTGGCCACGACACATTTAGTTGGCGTTTGGCTCAAAACATCAAGGCTTTCCAAAATGAAATAAATTCAATAAATGTGTAAAAAGGTCCTATACTAGGTCATGATTCAGCCTAATTGGTATCTCTTTTATATTTTAGAGCTTAAAAGGTGGATTTAAATGACGAACATTAAATTATACATTTACAAACTTTAATATATTCAGAGGGTGTGCTGTTGCAGCCATATTTGGTTTGGTATGACCAGTTTATGTTAGCTGGTGTTACATAATGCAAGCATTTGTATTCTGTAATACAAATGTTATTGCTTAAGATTGCTAACTTCATGAGTCTTCCTTTCTTGTTTTATTGCATTACACTGCAATCCAAAATGTACGATTTTAGTCTCTACAGGCACTGCATGTCAGCCGATGTTAAATAGTTCTGCTCTACATTAAATTTTAGAGATGATAAAAGTTACAAAAATGTAATCACGCCATCATCTAAGCCTGTTCAGTTTCTATGTTCAGGGCTCAGCTTGATTGTCATGTAAATATTTTCCACACACAGAACAAAGAAATTAACTTATTTGCATTTGCTTTGTTCAGTTATGCTGGAAAATCAGGTGTAACGTGTCCAGAATCCAAGAATTTAAATATATGCTAGATGCAGGAATGACTAACAGCTGCTATTTTCTCCACTGATTTTTACCTAATCACCCCACAGCACAACTATGTTTGTCTGAGCTCAAACATTTGCTATTTTCCCCCAGTTGCAATAATGCAATTTGACATTTAATTACAGTGTTTATAATGTTTAATAATAAGATTAAGCTATTGCATATCTGAAAAAGTTCATAACCGCTTACTTTGTAAGGAAACAGCCTGTCTAGTAGCATCGCTGTCTCTTGCATTAAAAAGAGACAGGCTGTGTGGGGAGAGGAAATGGTATCAGCTTTCCAAGGGGCTCCCTGTTGCCTTAGGGAACACAGCAGGCACAAATGGGCCATCCTCAAAGCTAGCAGAGGGGATAGTGAGTGAGTCATCCAGTGCAGGTGATTACTGCTGCCTTTCATGCAAGCAGCTAATGCTGCCACGGCCCACAACAAAAGTGGTTCAGTGTGTGCGTTTGTGTCCCTCAATCAGGCTGGTTTTGGTGCAGAATATTTGTTTTTGAATCTTTTGGTATTCTGTGCCCTTCTGTTTATTTTCTTGATAGCCGTGCATGTATGACGCTTAGAAATCAAACAGTGTGCACGCTAAGAGGTAAAATAAGGATAATTACAGGAGCCGTGGGAAAGCGAGAGAGAATAAAAAAAGAAGCAGCAGGGATTTACTGGCTCAGTCCAATAGACACTGTAAGCAGCAAAAAATTTAGAGAAAAGCTCAGCTCAGAAACAGCCCTAGCTAGCAGGCATTATGGTCTCAACAGGAGAAAACACCAGATGCAGTGCATCTTCTAGCTGACAGCTTGATGAGCCCTGCTTGAAAAGTGTCAGCTAGTTGTTCTTCCAGGATGTTTGGAATCGTTATTTTGCATAGAAACCCATACTTCAGGGAGAAATGAGGCGAAATACGGGAGTTATTTTTCATGTACCAAACCTCTCAAGAAATTTGGAGGATTTTATTTCAGCAAGTTATTATGCTGTGAAGCTTATTGTTCTGTAGATCCATCTAATATGCTCTAACTTATTCTTTAACTTTCAGAATTTGCACTTTTCTTCTTATCATAATTAGAAATACAGAGGAATAAAAATATGTTGTTGCTCTGCTTCTATCACCTAAATCACATAACGGATTTATTTAGTACTGAAAAAGATATAAAATATTGTCATGGGAGGAGTTTTACCTTACATAATATCAAATGATTTCTTTATCACTCAACACAGTGCATTTTAAATTTTAAATTTATTCTCTAAATATTCATGCAAAGCGTCTACTTTTGTCTCAAAAATCTCTCTCACCCACCATCTGCTATCACACTGTTTTACACCTCTTTGGGGTAGATGTGTCTTCTCATCTGTCTCCTCGTCTGCGATTTTTAGAGGCTTGTCTCTAAAAGCAGACTGATGAATATTTAATACTAACTGGGAGTGTGTATGGCAGATTGGTCATACTGTGTGCCAGCTTCTTATACAGATATAAGGTGCTTTGTTCCCTGTAACATAAGCTAACAGTAACAGATTCATATATTCTCATAGAACGAATCAGAATATATGTATCTTTGTTCCTTACACTTATGCTCTGTTACTTAGACCTGCATTGTCTGTAGATTTTCAAGCAAAACAGTGTCAAAAATTCTTCACCAGGTGCTGTTTTAACTGTTACTGTCTGTGTTTCAGTTCATTCAAGCACCTGATTGGGAGTTTGGAGGATGTATCCAGCAAAGGCCATGAGGATGCTGATGCCAAAGCCAAGTAAGACAAAGAAAAAATCATTTATACTCAATGTGACTGCCTAGCGCCTGCAGTGTTTTGCAAAGAGACATGCTGGCCAGCTGTTAATGCTTCATGCCGTTACTTCTGTTATATAATAATGCAACACTCTGTGGGAAACAGAAAGCATGCGCTATAACCTTCACCTCTATTTTTGGAGGAATTAATATGTACTTTATCTTCACTATGGGAATAAGAGAATGGCTCTATAGAAGGCACTTTGGCATTGAGGTGGGAATCTAGAGGTTCTTTTAGCCATCTCTTGGCATAATCTGATACCCCACTGATTCAGCGCTATGTTGAGAGTCAAGGTGAGTAGAAACAAGAACCCAGTAATGACAGTTTACAGGGAGCCAGAGAGCAGGAACAGCTTATCCCATATGTAGATAGATTTAGAGAGACAGAGAGAACAAGAGGGTGACAAAACAGACTAGACGTCTGCCCGGTGCTGTGGATTTCTAGCTGAGAGTGCCAGTGATCTTTTGCAAGTCAGTGGCATGTTATCAGCAGAGCAGTCAAGAGCAAAACATACCACCAGGGTTGGAAAGAGGCAACAAGAAACCGATGGGTATAACAGGGGGCGTATAGTGCCCTACCTCTGGCTTTCGGCCCTGGCCAGATCTACTTTATGGCTCCACTGATGATTGTTTGGCCTGCCAGTAGATCTATGATAATATGATAACATAATATCCAGTGGCTGTCAGCATGAAATGATGATCAACAAAATATTGTTGTGTTGTATTAGCAGAAGCCTTGGTTTTACGATCCAAGCCTTTACAATGACCCACCATGAAGGGTACAGCATCTTGTGTGGCAAAATAAAAAGATAGGAGAGAATTACAGTGTTCTACATTATCATTCTATCACCTAGATAAGGTACCCGAGTTAATTAGGTCTATGTCACACAGTGCGACTTGCAGACAGCTTAAAAGATTCCTTAAGCAAGTTAGATTTTATGCAAAGGAGTAACAAGTTGTACTTTTGCATGACAAATGTTTATAACTTTATCATCGAGCCAGAACTTTAACTCAAATTAGACCCACTCACCTTCTCTGCTCTCTCAAATCTGTCTCATCACCCTGATTAGGGCAGCTTTCCCTGCTGCGTGCTGTGTTGTCTCTTGCTGGCACTCCCCACTCAGCAGAGCACGTTTGCTTCTTGTTGAGGAAAGCCTGAGTCAGGATCCCTCTGAGATGGAAACTGTCTCTAATTGGTCACAGTGGATAAGCATATTTCAGTAGTGCTGTTGCTGTACAGGAAATTATAGCTGCTCTCTGCGGGGCTGACAGGTCTTTTCTTCAAAGACTAGCTCCCTGTCACATGCTACTGTATATGCACACATTGTTTTTGATCAAGGCCTTGTTTCTCTGAGAAGGAGATGCTACATTCTGCACACTGCTGCTGCATTCATAAAAACTTTTATGTATTCTGAGGTGAGGGGAGAATTTAAAGATAAGACAAAGTAAAAGAAAAAAGCTGATTTTCTCCAGCGATGCAGACTTAACAGAAAATGTCTTATAGAGAAATCTGAAATTATGTTGCCTGTATATCCCGAAGCTTTATGTTTACCCTTTATTTTTAAAGGAATAAAATCATCTAAAAATAATCTTCTGCTTCTTGTCGTTAAAATTATATTCGTCATTTAAATGCACCAGTTTTATTCCCCACTCTTTGCGATTAAAATGTTCTAATTGCCCTTTCAAGCAGCTATTTTCACTTACCTTTAATCAGCAATTTGGGCCCTTCTGGTGAAAAAACCCTGAATAACTAAAAATCTATGAGAAAATATGACCCACTATGACTCAGTGGGTCCTGTGTCTTTTGGGAGTGTAGATATTCAATAAACAGGAATCACCCATAAATAAAAGTGACATTTAAGCCTGGTTTAAGGTCACAAGTGCTTTCTTCTCCTCTTTCTGCTCCCCTGAGTCAGTCTGATGAAGAAGAACTAGGGCAAAGTAAATGAGGATAATCGTACACACACTCCCACACAAATACTGACACACACTTTAGACACACGGGGATTGCATCATTTTTATGACCTCATTCGTTCAGTGATACAGATTATCACCCACTGGGGTGCTACTTGACCTGCATAGGAACACTTTGTAATGCTGAGCTTGTAATGGATTTTCATGTTAGCAGTTATAAGTAACATCTTATTGCAACCTCATAATGCATATGCTGTCCAGGAAACTGTGTCAGATGCTGCTAAGCTCTCTGTGTTCACTTTTATTCAAGGTCATGGTTTAGACATCTATTTAAGGTGGATGTATGGTTTCAGTCTCACTGGATCTTCTCTCTGGTATCATATTCCAGTTTCCGGCATATCATGGCTCAGTTATAGCGACAGACGAGTGTAGTTTTCTGCTTATCTGAAAAAACTGTATTGTGTGTCGCTGCTTTAGTGAATATCTCCACCATTCATTGATTCCTACAGAGACTGTGTGTCCTTGATTGAGACATTGTGTTTTGCCTGTGACAAAATTATTCATTACAAAGCAAAGTAGCTTAATGGTTTTGTATTGTTACCCGCTTGAAGAAATGTTCATCATCTGTAGAGAATAGAAGAGACATTTATTCTTTCATTGCTTATCTAATAGAAAAGGGGCTCGTTTTGTGCTTCGGCTGTGAATAGCACAGTTTTTGTTCGTCAGCGCTTTGATACTGACTCCTTATAATGAAGCAACACTGCCATCTGCTGGTTGTATGTTTCTGTTACTAGTCAACCGTTTTAGCAAGTGAAAAATTCAAAAGTGTAAAATTATATCCTTACTCTCATTTCTTCTATATCTTGACAGAATTTGCAAAACGCTCCTTAATTAACTGCACCCAGACACATCCTAGTGTGTCATATTTGATGCGTGCAGTTTTTTGTGGGTTTTTGAGACGTCTATATCATCAGAGTGAATCCCCCCCCACCTGAAAAACCTAAATAAATTGTACATTTTTAAGCAATTTTTCAAAAAGCCAGATAAAAAAGCAACTACAATACAAATTAAAATTCATATACTGAAATTAAAATGTAATAATTTTTCAAACAAATTTGTCAGATGGTTCAATAAACTCTTTAATTTTGAAAAATTTGTAATTTTCCTGCAATTATTTTCTATTTCAGGCTTTAAAGGGTTAACAATACTGCACCACACACACTAAACATGTAATCTTGGTTACTTGCCTCCTTTTCTTAAGCAGCACTTATTTTAGGATTTGGAGTGTTTTCTGGGCCTGCATCCAGGTCAGGGTCGGGGAGAAAAGATGAAAGGATAACCTGCAAATCTCCCATGATAGTGATAGTGTATACATATACACAAATAAACCATGAGTGTCCTGGTAACCTGATGTGTTTCTGAGAAACATCGTGCTCAGTAACCTGCCAACACGTGCCACCAAAGTGTCCACTGCTGCGTAGCTTAGGGAAAAGGTTTCCAGTGTAACTGATCTGAAACAAGTACAGTTAGGTTGGTTTTTTAACACTTGGAATAGCCAGATAAGCTAGAATGGCATAAAGCAAACATAATTTGACATTTTACTGATTACATTCAAACCTGGAACAGTTTTTTCTGAAAGTGTTTAACATACATTTTTGTAAATAATCTTAATCCCTGCAGCTCTGCGAAAGAAGGCTGCTGACTTATCTAAACACGTCTTCTGTGGAGGTGTTTTTTGATAAGACGCTGTCTACATAAACATACAGCTGAAATATTTTTGAGAGAGAAGAGGCCTGACGTCGAGGCGATAGTCTGTTATGAGTGACCCAGAAAGGCCTATCCAGGCTTGGATCTGTCCTAAGCCCACTGATCCAGAAACTGAGCTGATGAAACTCTGTCTGGATCAAACAATAACCAAAGAAGACACGGGGCATCTGGGGATAAGGGGTGGACACGTGGAAACAATCTCTACTGCCAGCATGCTGGCATGTTGTGGAGTTCAGTGGCAGAGCCAAGGCATGTCTTCTGAGCCAACTGAGTAGTGAGTAGCCTGTGTCACGGATGTCCCATCTTTGTTCTTTCCTATAAAGAATGGGGACAAGCTGGGGACAGTTAGTCTGTGATCAAAGAGAGGTCAAAGTAATTTGCCAGAAGACTAAACTCAAAAACATCCTGTTCATGTGCTCATATTTATACTCCACATCCTCAACAACATCCTTGATAGATTACTATGAGTTAAATCCTCTAAGATTTGCAAACAAATGAGCTCAAGGAGAGACGGATATTTTGTCTCAGGTTGTTGAAAGTGGATTATGTTTTCTTTCATCCTTCATCTCATCTCTAATCCTGTTCCCCTTCGTTCTTTCCTCCCCTTTTTCCTGGCCCCACAGGTATGAAGCAGAGAATGCGTTTTTCTTCAATCTAAACCTAGCTGACTTTAACATCATCGACACTCTGGGGGTTGGTGGCTTTGGACGCGTTGAGCTGGTATGAAGCGCTGCAGTGTGACATTAACATCAATATTCTGGACTTCTCTGACAAGCTGCACACGTTGCTATTTGAATCTCTCTCTTTCCCTATCACTGCAGGTTCAGCTCAAGAGTGATGAGAACAAAACATTTGCCATGAAAATCCTCAAGAAGCGGCACATCGTCGACACGAGACAGCAAGAGCACATTCGCTCAGAAAAGCTCATCATGCAAGAGGCCCACTCGGACTTCATTGTTAGGTAGCTTCTTAACATTAGCTTCCTTCAAATGCTCAATAAAGTTTGCTTATCTTACTAAATGTTTAATTCTGGTGATCAAAGTAAGAGTTATTAAAAATGACATTCCCTATTAAGACTTATTTAATGAACGTGGCCACAAAAAGAGCCTGTCATCATCACGGCTTTCTCATTTTGGCTTGGTTTGTATGTAATATGGCGTGGCTTAACAATAATAAAGAACTGCCTGAACAAGAATAAAGATGGGTGATACAAGCATCAGCAGGCTAACAAAACACAGCTGCAGCAGTAGTTAGGAGATTTAGGGAAACTGTGCTACCAATAACAGATGGTTCAATAGTCACCCTTGAATAATGAGGGCATGCACAATTTGCTTTCTATTAAGTACTTCTGACTTGGCACAGAGACTATCTGTGGAAGTGTTTCAGAAGTCATTTTTCTGATGATGTGGCACAAGACTGCACAGTTAAAACATGAAAAGGAGCATGACAAACACTGGCAGGGCAATCTTTAGTTGGATGAAATACATTTATTTATGCCAATTTCGGTCCAGCTTCATTGGTGTGCTTGTGGCCAGGAGCACCCTGGTACTGGCTATAAAACATGAAGGTGGGAGAGCGCTGATAAGGCGATACAAACAGTTCAGGAAGGTTTTAATAGAGACGAATGCTAATTTGTGTGCTGGAATACTGAATGACAAGATAACTCACAGGCTTGAGATGCGTGGCCCGAGAGACGTTTAGCAACATGACAATTTAAAAAACACTTTGTTTGGAGAGGTTTGTCCCCTCACTTGAATCCAATTAAACACTTTGGGAGTGTTTTGCTGTACACCGTTTATTGTGGTTTACTAAAATTATTTATGTATATTTTAACAAACGGTTTAAATACTGAATTATATCAAAGGAAATCCCTGGCCAACAACAGACTGCTTTATTTCAGTATTATCATGTGTTCAAAATAGATTATAGGATTTTTGGTTAAGAAGATGAATTCATTGCTTTTTTTCTGCCAAATAATAGTTGTGTGGTTATGAATTTTACAGCAGTTTGTCATAACAAACACTTCTGTGTGTTTTCAGACTGTACAGAACCTTCAAGGACAGCAAATACCTCTACATGTTGATGGAAGCATGTTTAGGCGGAGAACTGTGGACCATTCTCAGAGATCGGTAAACTCATAAAGGATTAATGTCACACACACACACAATTATATGGCAAAGAAAGGTGTGGCAGTTAAGTTAATTCTGGTAAAATGATATTTGAGTCCCGCTTTGACCAACATATCTAGTGATTTTATAGCTACATTATAGGAAGTGTATCACATTTTACTATTTGATGTAAGTTACAATTTTCATCTTCTTTTGTCCTGCTGTGTTTACAGGGGTTCATTTGAGGACTCGACCACCAGGTTTTACACAGCCTGTGTAGTTGAGGCTTTTGCTTACCTGCATTCCAAAGGCATTATCTACAGAGACCTTAAACCAGAGAACCTTATATTGGACCACAGGGGTTATGCCAAACTGGTAAGAGATCAACATGGAAACACAGAAACCTCTAACTTGGATGTTTGTGTGTTTTTGAGAGATGATGCAAGAAAAGACAAATGCCATCTTTCTCTGATGTATGTGAAATGTCAAAAATCATTTTGAATACTGCCACACAATGGCTTTAAATACAAGAGTAATCACAGTGTGAAGAGAAGTATAACTAAGGCTATGCTAGGTTTTGTTTTTTGAGGTACACCAACATTCCCTTTTCTCATCATGGAGAAACCAGCTTGTCTCTTTTGGCAGAGCAGCCAGCAGCTACTCAGCTCAGCTCCAAACCCACCAATGCCACTATTTCCACCATTTTCATTCCACCATTAGTATGCATAAGAGTGAACATGATCTGATAGGAACCAAAATACCACGAGAAGGATTTTAAGTCAAATTTTTCTTTGCCTGATTATTACAATCTGACAACAAAATCGTTGTTTTCTTTAGGTGGACTTTGGCTTTGCCAAGAAGATTGGGTTTGGGAAGAAAACGTGGACCTTCTGTGGGACACCAGAGTATGTAGCACCAGAGATCATTCTGAACAAGGGCCACGACATCTCAGCTGACTACTGGTCTCTAGGAATCCTTATGTTTGAGCTCTTAACTGGCAGGTACTCACAGGCCCGGGCTTGTCCTTAACAAACTTGTTTATGACGTTTTTGCGGTAATACGTGCAAAACTTTTTGGAAATGTTGAGTCACCTGGTGAAAATTAAAATGTGTCAGCTCATTGCACAATTTATACAGAACAGTTTGATGGTAGCTGATTACATAATTGTCCACACTTAAGCACGTTTTACTTCAAAGTAATATGTTGGCCTCTGTTGTGTAGTCCTCCATTCTCTGGCCCTGATCCTATGAAAACCTACAACATCATCTTGAGAGGAATCGACATGATTGAGTTTCCAAAGAAAATTACCAAAAATGCTGCCAACCTAATCAAAAAGCTATGCAGGTAAGTGTTTGTGCCTGTAGACATTTATACATAGTAATTCATTTAAGTGGTCTGCGTGCTGAATCATACATTATTTTTTCTACTTCAGGGATAATCCTTCTGAAAGACTGGGAAACTTGAAAAACGGTGTCAAAGACATCCAAAAGCACAAGTGAGAAAACGCATTACTCAGTCCAGACATTTGTATTAATTTGCTCGCTGCACAGTGATGAAGTAAGGCTATTTTTTCTTTTAGATGGTTTGAGGGCTTTAACTGGGAAGGTTTGAAGAAGGGGACACTGACACCACCTATTATCCCTAATGTAAGTGCACGCTGTGCCCGTTTTGTTTTGTTTTATAGCCACTCAGTTGTTGCTTATTCTTTATGTGAAAGATTATTTTGTGTTTCTACCAGGTCACATCAGCAGTTGACACAAGTAATTTTGACAGCTTCCCAGAGGACAATGAAGACCCACCTCCTGATGACAACTCCGGCTGGGACGTTGATTTTTGAAGTCCTCCTCTTCTCTTGAAACCAGAAGAAACTCTTCTTTTGTTGGCTTTTAATGGTTTGGAGGTCATTAATGGAGGACATGGCTGTGTTGTAAAAAACAAAACTGCATTAAAAATGAAAGAGAAGATATGGAAAAGAAGATTAATAGTTGGATGGCAAACCCTCTGGGTCACCGATATGCCTTTATTTCACTGTGGCTCTGGATCAAGCATTTATAATGGGACTGCTGTAGCACTTCTCCGGTGTTGTTTTACACTTGGGTCTAAAAGGCAAAGAAAGTGCAGGGATACAAACACACACATACACACACAAATACAACAGAGGCTGATAACGGAGCCAGGTTTTCCCATGTATCATGAAGAGATGCTTAGTGGATGGATGAATGTTTTAAAGTTTGTCGAAGTTTTGCTTCGACGACTAGAAAAAGGAACTATATGTTGACAACCGCTCAAAAGAGGAAGGGGATGGTTATTGGTTTTTCTTTTTTTATAGATTCATTTTTCCGCTATAGTTAGTGAAATATTTGGTGGACTCTGGGAGGGGATATGATGATACTGCAGTTGGTCCCTGGTTATCAACATGCAGCTGCTTTCTGCAATCTGTAATGCTTTGTAGACATCTACACACTACAGATGGCAAGTGCAACTGGTACCAAGTGCTCACGACTAATCTGAATGTCACAGATTTTTCTTCTTATTGAAAAAACACAATATGAATGGTACGTAGTATTTGAATTTACGAGATCTATTGTCACACATGAACGTTACCGGGCTGAAATCAAATACTTAGTACAATTTATGTGAGATTAATCTACCTTGAAAAGCACAAACACAGTGCATTCAGTGGAAAGAGATGTGACTCTTAAAGTGCCCTCCTTAAAATTTTAATGAATCACACACCGGCACACGTGAAATGTCAGCTAGTATTTCCATGAAGCAATGTGTCCTTATGCACTTAAGACCATTAACTGAGAAAATCCACAGTTATAGCTCATTTTAAGCTTAAGTCGAGGTCACACTTTTCTGTTCTATAATAGGCTTTAAAAAAAATCATGCATACGAATGCTTCTCTGCCTACATCCATCTTCAGTTTGTTTTTCAGTCACTTCTTGAATCCACCCAAACCGGATGTCCTCTCCTGTATAGTACTGACATAACTGTGAACATGGTTTTGATGTCTTTGGTGCTGTTGATAAATTATAATGAGCGATGTTGAGATGACAGTACTGGTTCTTTGTTTTTGTATTGTGATTTCTTTTGTGCTTGATTACTTTGTAACGTACTTGACAGCATTCTTTAGAGAAAATTGGAGACTTGTATAAATTTGTGAACTTGATCGATGATTTATCACTTGTGGTATTGTCGAGGTTTTTAAACAGGTTTCACCAGTTTGAGTTCAGCCATGAAAAAAAAAAAATCATCCTTCTGTTTATTTGGAACTCAGATTTACCACATTTGCATTATCATAAGACTATCTTGACTTAACATAATCGTGTGGGAATCTTGACGTGTCTCCTAGAGGCAAAAAGAAGCTAAATAAATAAGGTTATATTTTGTGAAATCTCAACTTTGATCACCATGATCTCTCGCCCAGCTCGTCACCTCTTGCGTCCAAAAATCAGAACATGAAGTCAAAAGGAATGTAAGTGCCTTAAGTCAATGGCATACAAAATTTACATCACAAGACCTTTTCGATGCTGCATGAACACATATACACCTCAAAAACGTATGTGTCCTCTTAGATGGCTGCTTTTCATCCTTTCTTATATCTAATAAATACATTAATCACCACAAAGAATTTCTAGTCATTTGATGGCTGACAAAATATATGAAATAAATTTCCTGCTTACGCCTTTGATTTATGTCACGGGAACATTTAAAATGATTAAAAGCTATCCTACCTGATATAGCTGCAATGACATGCTTTTCTCCACATATCTAATGTGATCCTTTGAAGTCAATCACTACTGGCCTGATACAAAACACCAGTGAGCATTAACCATGGCTCAGAAAGACCATCCATCACTTGTTTCAGTCAGTAAATTTGAGCTTTTAGAGACGGCAAGAATGATTTGCAGTTATGAATATTTTGCCAATACAAATATGGAAATATTTTTATCACTGTTGACAGTCTTTGACAGAATGTCAGCATTAATCATATCTCATCACGATTCAAATTCTCTTTTCACTGTTTGGCTCAAAAGCTCAAGTCACATTTCACCCCACTAGCAGGAGAAGTTTGCCTTTCAAAAGCTTTCTTATCCGTTGTAGTTTACGGTCATTGTTTGCTTGTGTCTAGGCAGCAAATCTATGTGGTAAAGCTTGAAGAAACAGTTAAAATTCATCCTTTTGATGATATTAAACATGTATTGCAAAGCCTTTCTAGGCAGAAAGTTCTGAAGGCAAAATTCTCCTATGTGCATTCACCCCAGGAAGCCAAACATACATATTATATGAATCTATTGATGGAGAACTAAACACAAGAAGAAATCTTAATTCTAAACCATAAGTGTTTTACTGTGTCGGGGGAGGGTGGGGCGGTATGTTTTCACAAAGCCTTATGTATGTCATATCTTACCAAACCACTGGTTTTCAGTTTTTATTGACTGCCTTCTGCAAAGTTACCTGATATTTGCCTTGTGTTGTTATTTTTCTGCTGTAAGTTATTTTGCAGAGTGCCACGTGTACGATTTTTAAAATTATAGAGTAAAAACAATACTTTTGAGTCGTGTGTGCTGTGTTCTTTCAAACTTGTGCTGTGCAGAGTTCGCTGTAGTTGCCACAAGGGGGAGCTAATGGTAAGACTAAAACGTCCCTTCACGCAAGTGCCTCAGCCTCATGTGAACCGCTTAAAGTTCCCAGATATCTAATAATCACTCCAAGAGTTTAATGTCATCCACTTAGTGGTAAGTGCGGATGATTCAGCTTTTCTGGCCTCCGTGTTGTTCGCACAACAAATCTGTTTGGGGCACAGGGAAATGGCTTCAGCCATAACAACAGGGTGACACTTCTGTAAGATCAAAGGGGATCAAAGTGCATCAAAGGAGCTCACCTTACCAGTACTGACATTCAGTAAAGTGGAGATAAAAGCTCTACTTCAAAAGATATGCAGCAATTCAAATGCGCAAAGTGCTAGTGTGTTTGTCAGGTGTCTATGGCGCATCGCTTATTCTACATACGCAGACACATTCTCACACTCAAACTTCGGATAAAGGCTCCGTGACCAGCAGATGACGTCCAAGTGCTAAAATATCTACAAGGAGAAACTTAAGTTCTTGTTTTTTATTACGCACTTCAGCATCTGAAGGGAGCTCTTCTTGCACAGCGAAAACTGACTATTCACACACAGAGTGCAAAAAGTTTTGAAATCAGTGTCACTAAAGGTTTAAGGTGAATAAATAAATCATAAGAGCTCACGTCTCTCAGGAAAGGGACGAGAGATAACAACTTAAGGACAAACACGGAGACAAGTCTACTGCGACGTGGGGTTATCAGCAGATTCACGTGGAAAAACAACATTGAGACTTAATTTGAATATTCTCAAATACATTTCTCCTTCTAGAAGTGGTGGAGCCTAAAGGGTCAAAGAGCAGGGTAGATCAGAGTCCCCTTTAATCTCAAAGTGCCAGTCAACCCTGAAAGGCCTCTCCACGGAAGTCCATTAATTCGGCAAAGTTTTCACACCCCTTAATGGTCTGCATATCCTACACATTGATGTCCGCAACTGGTGTAATCAAGCACACGTTGGGGGATAATTGCCCCCTTTGCAATCAGAGGGATCAAATGAAGTAGTTAATCGACTTAAGTAACTTCAATCGCTGTATTCACACAGCCAAAGGGCAGCCAAAGGATGTCATAGAAACTGGAATAAGCAAACGGCTTCTACAAAGATGCGCAGGTAACTTGTCAACAGAAATACAGGCCCATCAGACATATAAATCAAAATCAGTCAGCAAATCAAATGTGCTACACATTTAGAAAAACGTCATTGTTTTTATTTTCTAAAAGTATACCTATAATAGTTTGAAAAATATACTACCCGCCTATTTTGATAACTTCACAGTAATTGCGAAAATTAAAATAAGTGATCAATAAAATGGAGAAAAAAAACTCTTCCCGATGTGTGATTTATGTGTTTAAAATATATATTTTTTATTTTCTCTAATGTTGTTGAGTGATTGTTTAAACAAAGAGTGATGAATTTATGAGTAATATTTTTAAAACACATCGAAAAAATATTAAAGAAAACATTATTTGTCATCTGTATTTTTTATGTTTTTATTTATTTATTTTTATACTGACTGGATAGAGTAAGTACTGACTGGTGGTGGTGGGGTTATTTCCCGTGTACGACACTGTGTGATGGGTATTCAGACAGACTTTGCAGGTCATTATCATCACAAACACTGAAACGTTGTCCTGTGCAGGGAGCAGAGATGGCCATTTCCGTACAGTGGGTCTCTGTTTGAAATTCCACCCCTCCGCCTTTGTAGTGCACAGCGAGGGGCGGGAAGACAAACAGGTCCACATGTATAAAGAGAGATCACCCCAGGACTGCGAGTCAGGAGACCTCCAAACATCGTTCCGAAACTCTCTGGAAACTTTAGGATTCTGGATTCAAGGCCGTTTTGGACTTTGTCACTCTTCTTCCCAAAACAAAAGGAACATTCTTATCGTGTGTTTGCCGGAGAATTTAAGAAAGGAATCATGAAGATGCCTTCAGTCCGCGGCTTCTTGGCTGTGTATCTCACGCTGTTTGGATACCTTGGGGACGTTTACGCGGGCACAGTCCTGACGAACTCCAACGCGATCAAAAACCTGCCCGGCGCCCCGATTGTTAAAGATACCGATAGTGTCAGTCCGAGTCCTCGAACATCACCTTCTGGTAGCATGGGACACAAATTACCCGCAGACACCTTGCAGGTAATTAACTCAGCCGTGCGTAAAAGTCAAGTCTGTGCACCACAATAGTGATTCGCTTATATACGTTGTCACAGAAATCATAGCAATATACTTCCTGAAATAATACTTTTGTTTTTAATCATATATAGACCTCAAATGTTTGCACGGATGATGAAGAGTGCGGAGGTGAGGAATTCTGCAACGATGCTCGAGGCGTCTGCCTACCCTGCCGTAAGAACCGAAAGCGTTGCGCAAGGGACTCGATGTGCTGTGCAGGAAACCGCTGCAGCAACGGTGAGCTCATTTCAAATCAGTAATGACTTTTGGTTTTCTTTTAGTCATCTTGTATCTGTATTTTTGTTTTTAATTTCACTTTTTACTTATTATTTATATCTTAATTAACTAAGGGCTTTTTTTCTGTAGTGTTAATTGCAAACCCTTAATGCAGTTATTTATTTTCCTCTTTTACCTTTTCAGGTGTTTGCCAGGCAAATGACTTAGATGTCGCAGATGTAGCCCTCACAACTGGCTGGCACACACACAACAGTACCATGGAGCATCGAGCCAAGAAGCCTCCCACTGCCCATAGCAACCAGCCTCATGCTGTCAAAGGTAAGTGTGCTGTTAAAAATCACTGGTCTTATCTGTTGGGTTCAAGTAGCAGCAGTAGGAAGTTTTCAGGGAGGTCTGTTCCATGTAACATATTTTCACTTTGTTCTCTCCCCCCCTCATCTTCAGGCCAAGAGGGGGATGCCTGCCTGAGATCTGCAGACTGCTCCGAGGGTCTTTGCTGTGCCAGACACTTCTGGTCTCGCATTTGTAAGCCTGTTCTGACAGAGGGCCAGGTGTGTACGCGCCACCGCAGGAAAGGCAACCATGGCTTGGAGCTGTTCCAGCGTTGTGACTGCGGCGAAGGGCTGGCCTGCCGACCAGAGAAAGGAGAGCGAGATCACACTGTCAGCAGGACTGCAGCCCGGAACCTACACACCTGTCAGAGACGCTGACATGAACGAGTGGACGCACACAGAAAGAGAAACCTGCACATTCACACGCCCAGCAAAACCCACAACTCAGTCACAGACACTGACAAACACTTGCATACACAAGAGATGCTGACACACACGCACACACATGCACACAGACACCTAAGACTTTCTTTCCTGCCAAAGTTGTTGACACAAACACATCAGCCGAAAGGGTAGACATGATTCCTGGAAAAGTGATACACCCAGAGGGATACAAGAGTGCAAGATGGACTGAATCAATTCCCTTTCAGCAGATGAGGAGTCGGAAGTTAGGAAGTAACATTTCAGAAGTAT